TAATGTCAAACTCATGACATGTATAGTACCAAATTATTACAAGTTGTAGCATTTGTACTTTGTGAGTTTACGACATCTTGGCCCTAAGTGCCACCGTTGGCCAGATTCTTTTCATGAGGTGTTTTTCCCAAATGATTGCCAACAACCAGGTCTGAGACAGGCCAAAGCCATGAGCCAAGAGCTCCATCCTGGTATCCCACTTGGATGGCATGGATCCAAGCACTTGGGTAATCTTCCACTGCCTTCCCAGGTGAATTCGCAGGAACCTGGAGATGGAAGCAGAGCAGCTGGGACTCAAACAAGCACTCCCTTATGGGATGCCTGCATTGCAGGTGGGTGCTTAACTCTGAGCCACAATGTGGGCCCTTTTTCATGAGCTTAATGAAAGAAGACAGGGCCACTAGCTCCCCTTCTTTTCTTCCCTATAAATATTCTTATGATGATGACTATTCCTTCAGGTGGATTAAGAAACAGGAATTAAGGAACATGATACTTGCCTATAAAAACTACCAAAGAACTAAGCACATATAACAGGAAAGCCATGCCTAGAACTCCTCTTACAGAGAGTGGTGTATGTTGGAAGGGATGGTTTTTAAAAGTCACTTGAGACGGCCAGAGCTGTGGCACAGTGGGTTAAAGCCACAGCCTGCAGCACCAGCATCCCACATGGGCACTGGTTTGAGTCTGGGCTGCTCTAGTTCCCATCCAGCTCCCTGCTAGTGTGCCTGGGAAACAGGGGAGGATGAACCAAGTCCTTGAGCCCCTGCACCCACATAGGAGACGTGGATGAAGCTCCTGGCTCCTGGCCGTTGAGGCCATTTGGGCAGTGAACCAGTGGATGGAAGATCTCTGTCCTTTTCTTTCTCTGTAACTCTGCCTTTCAAATAAATAAATAAATTTTTAAAAATAAAATAAAATGAAAGTCTTTTGAACCTTCCAGCCCATGTCCTCCCCCCTTCTCATCGAAGAACACATTTTTAAGTTACAATAGATGGTGTTAAACTGCCTTCTAAATCTAAAGAAGTAGGTCTTGTTTCCAGCAAGTAGCTGGAATTTAGAGACAATTTTGGAGCCAAAGTTGATGACTTGTGACAGTGAAAGGGACATTAAGCACAGCCACCATGGCGTCTCCTTCTGCCCTCCCTTCATGGATCAATCTCATGCATTCCTCTAGAGCAGGCTCACAAAAATTTTAAAGAATCACTCTTTTAAAGAGGGGATCAGATCATTAATTTTCCACTGTGCATTGGATGGCAAGGGACATATTACAGGGGACAATTATTTGACCCTAAGGGACAGTGTCTATGTATAAAATTTAATAAGTAACTAAATTACATTATTTCACCAGAAATATATTATTTTTTTCCAAGAAAGAAAAAAAAATCAGAGTGAATGAAAATACATTCAAAGATTCTTAAGATAAGCAAACATGGTCTGGAAACATATCACACATAAAATCTATATTGAATTTGCAGATTGAAATTACAAAATCTCACTAGGAATCTCCCTTCAGGAAAAAAAAAACACCTTTAATTAGCTATTACACTTTTTATGGAATCCACTAGAATAGTCTAAAAAAATCAATTCCTTGAAAATATACAAAGATGTGCTTATATAAAGCTAACCTTGTATATAGCATTACATAGAAACATGCACAAATATGAAGGGACTTCAAAAATTCAGAGAGGTTAATCTGCTACTTGGGACACCTCCAACCCAAATCAGATTGTCTGTCAAGTCCCAGCTACTTCAAGCTTCTGATCTAACTTCCTACTAATAAGCCTAGGAGGCAGTGAAGTCCAAGTACTTGGGTTCCTGCCACCCAAGTGGGAAACCCAGATGGATTTCTTGGCTCTTGCTTCAGCCTTGTCCAGTCCTAGCTGTTGTGGGGATGTAGGGAATGAACCAACAGATGGAAGATCTTTCTCTGTTACTCTGCCTTTGAAATAAATATGCAAATCTTTAAAAAAAAAACATTCTTGGAAAATGGAATTAAAAGATATGTTTATTCTGGTGTAAAAAGATTTTGGAATCCAAGCATATGCGGTGTCTTCAAAAAATTCTTGAGAAACATTCATTACAAAAAGCTACACATAGGGGCCAGCACTGTGGCAAAGTGGGTAGAGCCGCCGCCTGCAGTGCCAGCATCCCATATGGGCACTCGGTAGAGTCCTGGCTGCTCTAATCCAGCTTCCAATTAGCACTTCTAATCCAGCTCTCTGCTATGGCCTGAGAAAGCAGTGGAAGATGGCCCAAGTCCTTGGGCCCCTGCACCCTCGTTGGAGACCCAAAAGAAGCTCCTGGCTCCTGGCTCCTGGCTTTGAATTGGCTCAACTCTGGCCATTGTGGCCATTTATGGAGTGAACCAGTGGGTGGAAGACCTCTCTCTCTCTCTCTCTCCCTCTGCCTCTCAGTAACTCTGCCTTTCAAATAAATAAATAAATATTAAAAAAACCTATACATGGATTTCAAAAATTTTTTGCACCAAAATAGACAACTTTTTGTTCCAATTTCTAAGAATTTTTTGAAATCCTCTGGTGTATGTAACTCCAAATTGCATTGATTGCATTATTATTCAAATTATTTAAATATTGTAAATTCTGTACAGCAGTAATTGTATTTAAATAATTTAGAAATACAAATGCCAAAAAAAGAGGAAGCAATGAGACTACTCCAGTTGAGTAGCACATTTATCACGGAAATGAAGACAGCCACAGGAAGTAGCTATTTTTCTCTCCCACAGTGGCACTGACTCTGATCAGCTCCATGGTGTATTGTTTGAGAACTTGTTGGAAAATAACACACACAGTCAGTCGGAGAGAACACTGGACCAGGACTTGGAAAATTAGCCATGTGGCCTTCGTTCACGCCCATCCCTTCTCCATGTCTCAGTCTCCTCATCTGTACAATGGCTGTAAACATGGAATCTGTAAAAACCCTGGTCCTGCTTACTTTATGGAGATCTGATCAACCGCCCCACTTCACATGAGAAAAACGAGGAGCAAAGTGACTCCCTTAAGGTCGCATAGCTAATCAGTGACAGAATCTGGAGGAGAAATAAAAGACTTTTGAAGACTTGGTCTTTCTGCACTAACAAAGCTGCCATTGAAGCAACAGATAGGAAAGTGCTTTGAAAATGTGTATAAGGTTTCATTCCATAGAAGTGTTCTGGAGTACCAGCTACTAAATCACTGTCAAGGTCATGGTGTGGCCATTAATTAATAAGTGTCTTTGAGATTGTACCTGCCCATCCAGCTGCAGCCATCTCTCCTTAGAATCAAACGCACTTTCATTTCTCAACAAAGACACAAGGAGTAAACAATTAACTGAATTAATTCAGACACTGAAGTGGATTTTCAAGGACTTGACTTGCCCAAGCTAGTTCACTACAAAGCCTAAATTAATCAGATAATTGCTAATTCTCCCCCTTTGTTTTGTGCTGCAGAGAGCTTATTTGTTAAAATGAACCTAGTAGTAGAACAAAACAGTCATTCAAAATATTTTTAAATCCCAAATCTGCACTAAATGAGCAAGTTCCAAGGTATGCTGTTTCTTTGGGCATCTTTAGTAATTATTTTAAAAGTGAATTTAAAAAATCTAAATGTGAACATTAATGTTGCTTTTAGGATTTCCACAGGACTTCTAAAGCAAATAAAGTTTTCAAAAAGCCAGGACATGATGAACATGATTTGTTGTCGGTAAAAAAAAAGTTTAAGCGTTCTCCTGGCATAACTAAAAACAACATTAAGCCTTTTAGATTAAATTCTTACTGACACCCTTTAAAAATACAGTCAGTTTGGCATGGTTTGAAATAATCTCTGTAACAGCTACCAAAGTTTTAAAATTAAGCAAACAATGCTAATTACCCTCCTCATAGTTGAAGGAAAGTCTAGAGAATAATGTAATTAATTGGCTCTGAAAAATTAATTACATATGAAATGAGACAGACTCATTAGATCTTTCCTGTTTCATCATAATTTCAGACTGGTTTTTATCATTTATGATTTCCTTGTGGTTCAGCTAGCATAAAATAGACTATTGTGATGCTAATTCAATATTTTCCCCCAAATAAACTTAGGACCAGAACATGAAAGCAAACCAATGTGAACATGGATTTCTCTCTTTTCCTCTGTACTGAGTTTTTGCATTTCATGTAAAGATTTTACTCTCTCTTTCTGTATCATTGAATTGACAAAGAAGTAAACAGTTAACTTTGAAATTCAACACAGCAATATAATTTGGTTTGGATGTGCAGCTCACTAACTCAAGTAAAAATGTTACTGAAATACTTTCTGTAACATAATAACTGTTGGTTACTCAGTTTTCAACTGTCACTATAACTTTAAAATAAATGTTCACTTATTAGTCTTGTAAATAAGGCTATGCTATTTCCAGAGGTTACAAAAAAATTCACTAGAGTATTTTTAGCCAAACTCAGTGTAACTTTACCCTCCTTATATTTAAATTCTTGGGTCTTACACATAAAAGGCTTTAATCATACTGAAATGCCTTTTCAGGGAATCCCTAGAGTATACAAACTGTATAAGGAAATGTATTTGATGGATTTACATCTTGGAGGTGAGAGAATAAATAAACTAAAGAAACGGCCCTGCTGTTACTCTTTTATGGGAGAAAATAAGAAAAGCATTCGTTTCAAGTGAAGTTCGGCTGTTTACTAAATAAAGCACCGTGTAAATACTTGGGGGCAATTATAGCTGGCAGATCTCAGGGGCCGAGGCACTCACTGGCTGCCTGCTAAAGTTAGCACTGCTCTGTTTTGTCCTGTCTGAACAACTCAGTTCCAAGTAACATTTGCACGACAGATCGCACAGCGTCCTGAACAAGCTACTAAAACCGCATCTTGTCTTCGATACACACACACACACACACACACACACGCAGCATCACGTAGTGTCCGACTATGGAAATGCTGGTGCGTGGTCGATTAAAAATATGCCCCCTCCCCTCTTAGGACACGTGAGAACAGCAAAATGCGGTACCTGCAACGTGCACTCACCCTTCCAGCAACTCAGTCTCTCCTTGGCAGAGCGTCTACGCCGTCCCCCCAAAAAATGTGTGTCAGCACAAGCCCGGACGAAACTTCACATCCAGGAAAATGAAATTAACCATGCAGATCAAAGGCAAACGAGCTGAGAGATGAAATGCCTGTAATCTGATCAGTGATCAGTTGCTGAACATCAAAGACCGAGCTGAGTTCATGCATACGCTGGCTATCCGGGGAGTTCGCCCTGGGCAGGTAAGGGCCCTCCGGCCTCCCAGCCCGCACGGTCTTTTGTTAACCCGGGGTCACGCCGTCCTCCGCCTCTGCCCTGCAGCGAGGCCCTGCGGGTGGTTCGCCAGTGCCCGAGCTGAGTGGCCCGATCCGTAGCCTTTCGGTTCCCAAGCTGCGTGGTGGATTGTGTGTTGGAAGCGTTTCCCAGTGCCAGCGGGCTCTGCCTTACCCCTTTCATCTCCCTGAGCTGCAGATCCCATGACATCATTCAGCGCCGCCGTGGGACTGGCAGGAGAGCTGGAATTCAGCCTGTGGGGGAGTGGAGCTGCAGAGGAACCAGCGCTCGCCTGATTGCTAATCATGTTAGACTATTGTGCCTCACGCAGGACAGTTTCTGTTATCTGTCTCTGACTGCAATGGACAGCCACTGCTGCGGGAAGTTCTTTGGGCGATAAGATCCTTGATAGATGGGGGTCCCAAATGACAGCGTTTAAAGGCCTTTTCATTGATAAAAATCACGCTTTCCCCGCAAAGACTGGTTGCCAGATTTTCAGAATAAATAGCAAACTAAGGCTGTCCCCTAAGACACCCAGACTACTCCGCCAGAGGATCAGGCTAACATTTTGTTGTTGTTATTGTTCCCAATGGGACGAGTATTTAAGGATTTCCAGTAAACTGTCTCTTCCTTGAAATGTAAACTATTAAGACCTGACTACCAACCAAGCAGAGGTGTTCTCATTAAAGTGGTTAAGCAGTAGATTGGGCAGTTCATCAAACAGCCGCTGACTTCTCCCTTCCTGCATATCCAGAGGCTGTATTCGAAGTTAATCTCCTTTCTACTTTGGGATTTGGGAAACTAGATTTTAACGTGTCTACATGTTAGTGGTAATTCATTAACACTTCTTGAGTATCTCCAAATTCACAAAAGAATCACACTGAGAAAAGCCCTCGTCTCAGGATCATAAGTCTGTGTTCCTGGCCTTTTAGAACCATTTCTCCCAAACTCACTAAAACAAAACAATAATAAATTAAAAAAAAAAAGCCACACCACCTTAGCCTAATTGTCCATATTTTAAAATTAAATCTAATGCACATTATCTAGGACCTCTTATGATTTTTCCTTAATAATTACAAATTTAATTAAAAGGTATTTTGTTTTCAGTATTTAATAAAATAAAAGATAAGAAGAAATTTCATCTTCTTTGCAGTGCAGGATCCAGGGCATTTCTGAATTCCAGACTGTTCTGGAAGGAGGGAAAATTCTCTATTTTATAATGGAAACATCAGCTTTTAGAAGGTCAGTTAAAATATTTTTTGCAAAACTTAGAGCACAGAATTTAACCTTTCTTTGTGTAAATGTCCTTCCCTAATTGGTTTCATCTGATGTTTCCTGATGTGATATTTGAAAATGTAGTTTACGGTGTGTTTATTTCCAGATTTCTATGATTCCTGAAAAAAATTAAATAGCAAAATATTTGGTTTGCATGGCTCATGGGTTCAGTATAACACTTAAACAGTCTAATCTTCAGGGTTTCTTTTATAATTTTTCCACCTGTTAGATCGTGTCTCAAAGATGCACAGAGCTCAGATGGCGTCGATACTGGCAGGTGTGATGCTTTATGACTTCCTCGAAGCTGACTGGGAAAGACCCTGTGACACCTGGATGCCAAGTTTCTTGGGCTCCTTGAACTCACGAATACACAAAAATATTTGCAAGGACAAAATATTTCCCAGAGGCCAGCTGCCCATTTCTTTTCAGAGGTAGTCTAAAACCCTGCCCACAGCTTGGGATCCATATTCTTTTTGGGGGAGAGGGGAGATATTCTACCATCCTGCACTCGAGTAGAGGTTCTGGTACACTGATCTCTCACAACACCCAGGTCTTTGGATAAGCGAGGGAATCTATGTCTTGACAGAGTTCAATACCGACAGAAATAGGTGAGGCTCTGATTTAGGGAGCTCGTCGTTGTGCTGGAAGCTCACAGAAGGCATGTGAAAGCAGGGACTCCGGTGAACACTAATCAAACGGCCCCCAAATTACATGAATCTCACCAAGCAAGATCTGAGTTCAAGGCTCAACTGGCAAGGTGGTGTCCCTTCCAGTGGGAGCATTTGTTCACCTAGTTGCTGCAAATTATTTTATATTGGCCCTCTTGCGGCCAGGAATGCCCCACGTGGGAGATGAAAGGGGACTGAGCTGAAGGCCCCATCTGTCACTGGGAGCAGAGAATGACTAAAGACTGGCCTCCACGGAGGGGTGACCTCCTGACCCCCAGCTCATTAGCACTGCACTCAACCAACTGAGCTGCCTTCATTGTAAGAAGTGGCCTGGACCATTGTTGCTCTGAACAGCACCATGAATGAGAGATACTGCAGAGCTTTTTGCTTTCCTCTTTAAGGAGCTCAGATTAGTGAGATTAAATCTGATACTATGGTGATAAGAAATATGCCACTATGCAGGCGTTACTTAACCACACGGGTACTTTGGAAGAGACATCATTAGGTTATGTTGTTGTGTGAACATCATTGTGTGTCCTTGCATAAACCTAGATGGGGTAGCCTGCTATTTATTTATATGGCATAGCTATTGCTCCTAGCATCATAAAGAACACACCAGCCCAACATTAAATGGAGAAGTAGAGAAAATGATGCCATCAGGAGATGTGGTATGGGCTGCCACTGGCACCACACAGCAGGCTGTTTACAACTGTTTTTTTTTTTTTTTTTTTTACTTCACTCTAGAAGTAGAAGGAATACATTCTAAATAAAACACAAAGTGTGGTATAGCAAACATGTAAGCCAGTAACACAACCATTTGTTATCATTATGAAGAATTATATGTTGTATATACTGTCTGGGCTTTACTTTTTATGTGACTGGTAGTGGATTAGGTGTGTTTACACCTGCTCACCACACACTTGTGAGGAAAGCCTTGGCCTGTGATGTTATAACAGTTATGGCATCATTAGACAATAGGAATCTTTCAGTTCTATTACAATCTTATGAAACCTCTGTCATATATGTGGCCCCTTGTTGACTGAAATGCCGTTATGTGGCTCACGTGTGATTGTAATGATCTTTTTCTCTAGAGAGAGATTTATTTATTTATTGGAAAGGCAGAGTTACAGAGAGGCAGAGGCAGAGAGAGAGAGAGAGAGTTCTTCCATCTACTGGTTCACTCCCCAGATGGCCTCAATGACCACAGCTGGGCTAATCTGAAGCCAGGAGCCAGGAGCTTCCTCTGAGACTCCTACACAGGTGCAGGGGCCTAAGGACTTGGGCCTTCCTCTGCTTCTTTCCCAGGCCCTAATAGAGAGCTGGATCAGAAATGGAGCAGCCAGGACTTGAACTGGCACCCATATAGGATGCCAGCACCACAGGTGGCCACTTTACCTGCTACGTCACAGCGCCCGCCCCATGATCTGTTTTAATAACAGAGTTACAGTATGTTGTCAGCTATTTTTAGTGCAGCGTCACCATAGCTCATCCTACGCCCTTTGCCAGGTTTATTTCAACTACTTGGATGTGAAATGGCCCTGAGGCAACCATCGGATTCCCAATGGGGAGACTGGTGCTGCACTTCATAGCAGTATGACTGAGGAAATCTCAATCGTGCACGGCCAGGAATGGAGGGGACTTCCTGAGCTCCTTGAGGGGCAAGGGGGTCTCATGTTGCCCTCAGCTGCCACTGTCTAATGTTGTCTCCCCAGCATCTGGGACATGCTTCCTTGGTTTCTTTGCCTCGACAGGTAGGTCAGGTGAATTCTTACCCTTGTAAGGTGCAGGTTTGGGTACCATGGATGATTTTTTTTCATCAAGTTTCAAAGGTTTTGCTATTATCTAGAACTCTTTTCTGACATCATCTTTTCTAAACTTTCTTTCCAGAAGATTGTATCAGGAAAGCTGAGCTTTCCTGCATAAATCAAATTGAACAATTTTAGAATTTGCTTCATATTAATACTTCTGGGTGTGTGTGTGTGTGTGTCTAAGATCTGTGTTCAAATCTCTCTTACTCCTCGTAACCTAATCACAGCATGAATAATCTGGCCAAGGTACTTCGTCCATCTGACCTTCATTTTCCTGAACCCTAAGAAGGGCTAACCCCTCCCTCATTAGTACTACAGAGATAACTTCCATGGAAAGCATCAAGCACAATACATTCTGAACAGAAAAGTAAGCTCCCTCTCTTCTCTCCGTGACCATGAAAGAATCATGTGGATAGCAGGCGCTGAGCCTTGCAGTGAGGACTCTACTTGGAAGACCTGGGTTCCGGCCCCGGCTGCAATCCCAATGCCATCTTTCTGTCCATACACGCGCTGGGAGGCCACAGTGCTGGCTCAGGCGACTGCCTCCTGCCGCCACACGGGATACCTGGATTGAGTTCTGGGTTCCTGACATCAGCTTGGTTCATCTCCAGGTAATGTGGGCCTTTGGGGAGTGAACCAGTGGATGGGAAGTCTCTCTCTGTCTCTCTGCCTTTCTAATAAATAAATAGAAATTGAGGAGAAAAAAAGAACTATAAGGAAACTAATATTTTAATTGTGGGATCATACTCAAATTTGGGTTGGGCTCAAGATTCCAAAGGGGCAGGGCAGGTGGTCCTGGCTCCGGGGCTGGTTATCCTGATCCTGAGTACCCAGAGGATCTCACGGCCCCCATGGTGCTGGGGGAGCACTTGTACCTGACCTGGGACCATCCTGTATTATCTGGGACTGTCTTCCACATGATCACAAAAGGAAATAGTTCAAGCCTGTTAGGGGTTGTGTTGTGTCCTCTGCACCTCCTGTGTTGAAATTCCCACCCCCCATACCTCAGAATGCAAACTTACTTGGACAGTCATGTTAAAATGTGCTCATTGGCACGGGCCCCATTCCTGTTGGACCTTTGAGTTATGAGAAGGAGAAAACTGGACACAGAGGCAGACGCCCCTGCAGAGAGCATACGACACGGACACAGAGGTGGCCACCCAGAAGTCAGAGAGCCTGGAACAAAGCTGTCTTCATGGCCTGAGGAAGGAGCCAACCATGCCCACAGCCTGACCTTGGACTTCCAGCCTCCAGAGCTGTGAGACAACAAACACCTGTTGTTTAAGCCCCCAGCCTAGGGGACTTTGTTCCGGCAGCCTCAACCAGCACGCTGCAAGGAGGAACCAATTAACATTCCCTTGCATGGTCAAGGCTTGCTCTCTCTTCTTCCCTTGCATGGTCAAGGCTTGCTCTCTCCTCGCTAGCACACTCTGCATTCTGCCTCCCAGGTCCCTCAGCTCTGAAGGACAGCCCGTGTCCT